ACATTGGCGAGAGCGGGAGCCGGCTGCTGCGTGTGAAATGTCGGTGCGTGAGGTGATCGTTCGGCTTTATTAGGGATTTTTTTTTTTTTTTTTTTTTGTTATTAGGGATTTTTTTTTTTTTTTGGCATTTAGGCCAATTAAGAGAGACTTATGTGCAAACTTAAATTCAAAATCTCTTAATTAGTAGTCTAAACTCTCAACTAATAGATCAAGATGAATTATGTTAATTAATTAATTTAAAAATAATGTAGCAAAACAAGATATGATTGTCCAATAAAACTATTATTATTATTATGAATCAATTCATTCATTTGGCTTCATGCAAATCTATTAAATTTTTACAAGTTCTCTTACATCTGAATATAAGCGGTATAGATGAACTGTTTTATAATCTTGATGTTCCAGACGAAATAGTGCAGTCTGTTTCGCGAATAGACAATGTTTGAGTGGTTTCGCAAAGCATTATGTTTAAGGCTCATCATATTATGATCATATTTGAGGTCATTTCTTGATAATTTCAATATTCTAAATGCTATGACCTGATCTATTTCGCAAAATAATAATAATAATAATAATAATAATTGGGTGGTTCCACGCAATATCTTATTTGTAGTATATCATTGTCATCGTGATTGCTTGAATCTATCTTGAAGTAAATACAGAAGTCAAGAGAAAGAAGGATGTACTAAATGTTGACGTGGTTGTGAAAGCTGAGACAAGACAGCGAAGAAATACCAAAGGAAGAAGATGACAGAGAATGGAGAAATGCTTTGTTATGTTTGAGAGAGCCAATACAGAGGTTTATATAGAACTAGCTGGTGTGTGTTGTACATGTGGCAGCATACTATTGGTAGAGTCAATTACAGATATCTTTATACAAGAGTCTGTTATGCCTTTTACGCCTCTACAAGCTAATGGTGAGGGATGCACTGTTAGCTTGGTCTGTAGAGTGTTGAATCTAGGCGTAGGGAGAGACTTGGTGAAGATATCCGCTGGTTGATCGACCGAGCTGATTGGGACGATCCTTATTTCCTTGGACTGAATGTGATCTAAGATGAAATGAAAGTCAAATTCGATATGTTTCGTTCGAGCGTGAAACATTGGATTGTTGGCAAGAGCGATGACAGAGATGTTGTTTAAAAAAATCTCTTGGCAAGAACGATGATAGAGATAAAGTTCGTGCAGGTTGTTAGACCTAATAGAAATGTCACCAGGCTAATCAAGAGGGGGTGAATTAATAATTTAAAAAATCTCTTTGATTTTAGAAAACCATTTTAAGAAATTTTACTCAATGATTCTGAAGTATGCGGTTGTTTGTAGAAATAGATTTTCACAAAATATTTTTTAACCACAGTAATAATAAAGTGCGGAAAATAAAAATGAAGTAAAAAATAAAAGAATAGAAGAATACCATATTTTATAGTAGTTTGGTCCAACTAGACCTACGTCTACTCCCTGGAGACTCATTCTCCATGTAGTGCACTAAATACAAGTGACTCCCTTTTGCTCCCACAGCAAGGCAGAGAAGTCCTTAAAAAACCTCTCTTTCACCAACCCGGTGCGGCAGAAAACCATCGTCCTTTTTCACCCTCCTGGTGAAGGCAGATTACCTTCATCCTTTTTCACTCTTCTGGTGAAGGCAGACTATCGTTGTCCTTTTTCACCCTCTTGGTGAGGGCAGAGTACCCAATATACTCCAAAGATCTTCTCTCAAGAGTCTTCAAAAAAGTATGGCAGAGTTTTGAAAAACAACTAAGAGATCCTCATCTTTGGGCAACCTTGTGAATCCCTCACAATTTCTTCTTGCAAGATCTCTCACTCTCCACTCCCAAACACTTTCCCAAATCACTCTCTTTTTCCACTCTCAAGAAAAATTCACAGCAAATAGATCTGTAAGTCAGTTTCTAGGACTTATTATATAAAAAACACAAAAAAAATCGTCTATAAATTGAATTTTCAAAGTGAAAATGAGTCATATCGTATAGTACAATCATGGATCGTCTGTACAAACAGTTCAAAAATCATGGGATGCTTTGGTACAAACATTTTTTCGTACACTGTTCGTCGTCTGTACGATTTACATATCGTCTGTACAAACAATTAAAGTTTGTCTAGATGATTTGGTACCAAGCTTATTTCGTATACTGTTAGTCGTCTATACGATATTTAGATCCTCTATACGAACAGTTAAAATTTGTCTGGACGATCTGGTACGAAGCATATTTCATACACTGTCGGTTGCATGTACAATATTTAGATCGTCTGTACGAACAGTTAAAATTCTTCTGGATGATCTAGTATGAAGCTTATTTCGTACACTATCATTTGTCTGTACAAACCAACGTTGTGCAGTACATATATGGTTAAAAAAATTTCAATTTCAATTTTAATTCTCCCCCTATATGTGTGTGCACAGTTACCCAATTATAATTACACTTTCTCGAACTCAAGAAAATAAAAATTACTAACTTTATTACATTAAATTTTATTCTACTCTATCTTGAAGTCTTCAGCAGTTTGGAGTATGATTTTCCTAAAATGTTAGTACACACAAAAACAAACAAACATATATTCAATATATATTAGCAAAAACAATAATATTTTGTTATCATCAAAAAATCACATTACACAAAACTTAATCTTGATTTATAAGTTGCAACAATATTGTCACATTGAATGTCCATTGGCAGACTGAGGAAAATCGAAGTCGGCGAGAAGGCGACGAATCCAGATGATGTTGGCTGTGGCCGCTGCTAGGGATCGGTATTTTGCTTATGTGGAGGAACAAGCGATTGTGTATTGCTTTTTGGCTGTCCAAGAGATAAGAGTATTACCTAAAAAATAGCAGTAGCCCGAAGTAGAATGTTTGGTGTCGAGGTCTATCGCCCAATTCACGTCTGAGAATGTTGATAAAGTGAGAGAGGAGAAGGAAATGGGAAGACCGAATGAAGTAGTGCCTTTGATGTAGCGAAGAAGACATTTTAGAAGATGATAGTGTGTGGAAGAGGGATTATGCATGTGTTAACATAAGGTGTTGAAGACAAAGGAGATGTTGGGTCTAGTGATAGTGAGATATTGAAGAGAACCGGTGAGTTGACTATAAGTGGTGGGATTAAAGAGAAGGAGATCATTAGGAGTGGTAGGGGGCTTAGTTGTGGAAGGATTGGCAAGTTGGTTGCACTTATTCATGTCGGCTTGTTGAAGAATGGATTTCGCATAGGAAGATTGAGATAGATGTAATTAATAATTGTGGGAGAGAATCTGGATGCCGAGGAAAGTAGATGGGTTGCCAAGATTTTTAATGGAGATGTTAATGCTAAGTGATGAAATGATATCGAGTAGAAGAGATGAAGAATTACCTGTAAGGAGAAAGTCGTCTATGTATATGAGGAGATAAGCTTGAACGAAATTCAAATTGAGGATGAAGAGGGATGAGTCAGAAGAGCTATTGTGAAAATCGAGAGATAGAAGATGATTGGATAAGGTTTGAAACCATTCACGTGGAACTTGCTTGAGACCATATAAAGATTTTTTAAGTAAGCACATGTGATTGGGATAAGTGTGGTCCTCAAATCTGCGAGATTGTTTCATATGAATGGTTGCTTGAAGTGAGCCATGGAGGAAGGCGTTTTTGACGTCAAGTTGATGAATGGTCCATTGATGAGTGATGACTATAGTGAGAAGAATGCGAATTGAGAGGAATTTGGCCACTAGACTAAATGTTTCGGTGTAATTAAGTCCGTATTCTTGGTGATCACCCTGAGCCACCAAGCGAGCTTTGTATCAAAAAATCGTACCGTCTGTATTTTTCTTTGAATTATAAGTCCATCTATAGCCCAAGATAGGTGAGTTGGGAGGAGGGGGGACCAGCTTCCACGTACCCTGTTGTTGGAGAGATAGGAATTCAGATGCCATTGCCTCTCTCCAATGGGGATGCTTGCTGGCTTTGGCATAGGTGATGGGATCAAAGCTCAGGGAGGAATGTAGATTGTGAATTTGGTGGGGTTTGAGAGTGCCGGTTTTAAGTCTGGTGATCATGGGGGAGAGGAGGATGGTGGAGGAGGAATAGGAAATTGGGGGGAAGGAACAGATGGAATAGTGTGTTGTTGGAGGAGGTAGGACAAGACTTGCTACTGAGAGGAGCAAACTGAGGAGAAGTCAAAAAAAGAAGAAGTCAGACACGAGGGGGAATAGGAGTAGATTGATCGAGAAACAAAAGATAGTTATTGGCTTTGAACAGTTTTGTGATTTGGGATTTCCAGGATGGATAGTTTTCACCTGAGAGAGCAATGAGAACAATGTTCTTGATATTTGAAATCAAGAACTTTAAGGATGATGGAATTGCCAGACAATCCCTAACTTCTTTGCCGGTAGTCGTGGACAAGGGTCATTCCATCAGTGAAATGGAGGTTGCGACCCAATCGGCTCTGATACCATGAAAGCTGAGACAAGACAGTGAAGAAAGACCAAAGGAAGAAGATGACAGAGAATGGAGAAATGCTTCGTTATGTTTGAGAGAACCAATACATAGGTTTATATAGAACTAGGTGGTGTGTTTGTACATGTGGCAGCATACTATTGGTAGAGTCAGTTACAGATATCTTTATACAAGAATCTGTTATGTCTTTTAGGTTGATGCAATTGATGAAACAATAAGATCTCAAAAGAACTGGATAACAGAAGCTATCAACTTATAAAATCAGAAACAAGTAAATCTGAAAGTTCACATTTGTTGAAAGCACAAAAAAGTGACGAGCACTATGAGTTTATAATTATTTTCTTTTATCTGAATTTATTTAGTGTAAAACATGCTTATGATGGCAGAACTTATATTAACAGAATCTTCCCTCTAATATTATGAGCATTTTATATGATTCAGTTCATTACTGAAAGTCATTACATCTATAATTACTTCAATACAGCAATTGTTATGATGAGAATTGGAAGGATACTCCGAATCTTATTTTTTGGTAGAAAAAAAGCAGCAAACTGGTACTTACGAAGAGTTATCCAAGCTAGAAATCAGCTCACCAGGTTCTTTCTTTTCAGCCTTGGAGCCTATTTGCAAATAAACAAACCATAAGAACATGACCATAATGCATGTCTACAAAGAGAAATGCCTTCAAATCAAACATTTATCAAACAAAACAGTAACTTGTTAACAATATTCAATAAAGCTACCATCTGTTGAAGACTCGGGGATGTATTTTGCCAGTCGATATTTCTACATGGATACAGAAATAAGGTTAGGCAAAGAAACAATAATTTTAAAAACTGGCATTGCGAAGAATGCTTGATCATATTGAATCCCAGTACCTGCAAGTGACTCTTCACATGGTATATGGTTAATCCTGGCACGGACATTACTTTAAGGACACCTTTTGGAGTGGCTCCTGTTCAAAAAGAAGTTATCTTATACTGCAAAGAAATCGGTCAAAATATAAATAAAAATCTAACTCAATAGGTGAGATATCTATATAGAATGATTATTTTGTTTATCTATTCATTTCTTCTATAAGGATCAAAGGAAAGAAGGTAAAATATCATTTATGGCTAAGCTACAACAATGATTAACCATTTTAGTCTTAGCTATCTCATGTGTTCTTACAAAGATGATTCAAAATAGTCCTTATGTTGGACTATTTTGGATTGAATTTAAGGAGTTATGGAGGGACTACTAAGTATAAGATTTCATGAATCAAAGAATTATATTTGACATATTATATACTATGGGACTAAAATGGCCCCCTATAAATAGTTGATGGACCTTCTTCTCTCTTAATAAATATAAATTTCCTCGGTGGAATAGGCTAAAGGAGCAAAGTTTCCAATATATACTACCAAAAAACAAATAAATAAATAAAAAACAGGTTCTCACAGCAACCATAATGAACTACCCACGACCAGAGTACTCATAATGGGGTTATAAGATGCATTTCCATGTGCTTCATCATTAGGTAATTGTATTGAAGTTTCTCTACAGCATCTTGCTTCTTTGACATGGAAAAATTATGAATTTCGCATTTCTAAGTGTAAAGCCACTCATGCACCAAAGTATTCTCATCTTTGCAACACTAAATTAATTTCTTGTTTCTCTTTTAATGGACAACATTCTATGCCATAAAACATTGCAAGTCTCATCACCATCTTATAGAATTTTTTCTTAAATTTGAATGGTACTTTTCTATCACCCGATGCATTCCTCCACTTCGATCATCCAACTTGAATTCTACTAATAATATCCCATCTATTTCACCATCGTTTTAAACAATAGACCCAAGATATCTAAAATGTGTACTCTTTTCAAAAACTTGATTGCTGAAAGTCACAATCCCCCACTAGATCCAATACTACTAAAATTATACTCCGTGTATTCGGTTTTAGATTTACTCTAACAAAAACCTTTAGACTCTAAAGTTGACCTCCATAATTTAAATTTTCTTCAACTCCCTCCCTATTCTTATCAACAAGAAGAATAGCATTAGCAAAAAGCATACACCAGGGTAAATATTGATATATCATAAAAAAAAAAAATCAAAGCTCTGTAATCGAGCTTTTTAGACCAACGGTTGCACTAAATAAAGGAATAAACTATCCTGATAGGCTTGGATAGTTATCAATACAAACCTAGCAAACCAAGTCTTCAGATACAGGAAAAGCACAGAGGGCTTAAAGAATCCTTCAATATTCAAGAAACGCCAAACAAAGTGAAGCAACATTTGCAATTGCAGATTAAAAAGAAATTCCCAAAGCATTTTACCTTCTATACATCAAGAAAAATGTTTCAGCAAATATATTAATACCATAGCATAATTGGCAGGCAAAGGAAAATGCAAAGACAAAAGGGAAAATCTAATCTGCCGCAAATTCAACTTTATCTAGAACTGCGATTTGATTCAAGATCATGCTACTTTAGGCAGGTAACAAGAAGAATTTCTCACTGTCTGGTCCGCCAAGTTGTGCCACTGCATCCACAAAACGCCCATGAAGCTCATGTGTCCACCTTAAACGTTGCCTTGAAGCCAAGCTGGGATTAGTGGAACTGTTCACAGAGTGATTTGAATCCATGGTGCTGCTACTCAATTCTAGTTGCTGATCTCGATAAACTGCACTGTTGAAGGCAGAAGTTTTACTTGGAATAGGATTTGATTGATGCATGTTGCATTACCTGATATAATAATAGGTAGTTTGTATCAGCTGGGCGTTACCAACATGAAATCTTGCAAAAGAAATGGAATTTGTATATATATTTTATTCAGAAACATTAATAATGTCTATTTAATCAAGTAATACAGTTTAAAAAATGAGGGAGGGTTTTGGCAGCACCTCTATGTAGGAAGAATGGTTGCTGGTAGAATAGAAGATTATAAAATCACCGCCCCTTAAGCCATTAACATTTATCAAAAACAAGCACTACACCATTCTTGGAGAAGGGAAAACAAAAAAGAGAAAAAGTTTCAACGCCAGTAAAAAAAAAACGCCACTTTTAATGGCTTACCAATAGAAGAAAGGACTGAAGAGCATTAATCTGGACCTTAAACACAGAAGAACCATAAACAGAAATCAATAAAACTCAAGTGGCACAGCTGGAAACCTACTCCCAACAGCCCCTGAACTCTATACTGGTTACAGAGGTTGCCCGTTAATGGAAAACCATTAAAAAAAAAAACAAATTTGCCCAATTCGGCAAGTAGCAGAGGCGGTGGAAAACATGAACGAATTTTAAGAAACTTCAAATCGTATATCAAAATGGAAGTGGACATGAACCCCAAAATTTATCCAAGTCCGCACAGTTGAATGTCCTAATCCCACCCAGTCACAAACTAAAATCGCGAAATCTACGCAAAAATTCCAGAGAAGAGAAATACCAGGGTCAGCAAACCCCAAATTGGAGAACCGGACATATGCTTCTGAACAAAGCGTCCTCGAAGGTCCAATGAAATTTAGAAGTGGAAGTGAACTGTGAAAGTAACGACAACAATGAACTATCAGAAACGCAGATGGAGTTCCAAAGGCTTTCCGATTTCCAATATAAATCAGCGGAAACTTTACTTCAGCCTACCTTCTGTTAGATTCCTTCACTCCCCGCCGCAGAGATTCGCTGGACTCGTAGTTCGTGAGTATCACAGCCACTCAGAGAAGGGCTCGGACTCCTAAGAAATTGAGGCGATAGAGCGCGCGCGCGCTACAGATAGAGAAAGCATAGGAGAGAAGGGGGAGCTACGTGAAGCTGACCGAGCTTTGGCCTGTTCTGCCCGGATTGCCCGTGATTCACGACGTTTCCGTTCCAGCGTATATTCCGTTACGATGCTCTCGGTGGCTATCCGTTGGACTGGTTCCGTTGCCGGCGGACGCTTGAGATTGAAGATTGGGAACCGTTGGATCTGTTATATCTTAACGGGTGTTAGTCCACGGAGTCAAAATAGAAAGTGCGATGTTGAGCGGCGACGAGGTTATCAGTCTCAGCTGCCACGTAGGATAACAGCCAATTGTTCTGTTAAGAAAAAAAACTAACTTTGGTGACTAATTAAATGGAAATTTTAATTTTATATGATTCATACTGTATCTAATTAGAGAAATATTTCAGCAGATTATTTATCCAAACTTTTTTTTTGGAAGTTAATATTCTTGTTTTGTTTATATCTCCACTCTCAAATATTTTTGGCTAAAAAATCATTCAAAATATGCCATTTTTAGTTCGGATATATTTCCAAGTATTTTTTATTTCTATTTTTATTCAATTTATTTGAGATTTTTTCTTATGTAACGACAAGAATATCAGGACGAGGAAGTTGAATCGGATAAAGTAGATTAATACTGACTTAGGTTTCGTTTGGAACAGCTTTCTTACTGCTTCTTAAAGTAACTTTTCAGTATAAAAATTAAAATTTTTTATACTAAAAAGCTGCTTTAAGAAACAGTATGAAAGCCGTCCCAAACGAAGCCATAGACTTCGTTTGGGATAGCTTTTTTAACGTTTTTTAAAATTGTTTTTGATTAAAAATTTTCTTGAATTAGAAAATTTCATACTAGAAAGTTGTTTTAGAAAGCAATGAAAAAAATGTCCTAAATGAAACCTTAAACAATTATGGGTGAGTTTTTAATGAATGATGTTATATTATAATGATTCTATTATTTGTCAAAACATTCATAACGGTAGAGAGAGATTAACATCTTAATTTTATATCGAGATCCACCATAGAGATACATGAAAGAGGAGTTGTAAGAGACCAATTTATTTACTTGAAGAACTCAAATAATAATAATAATAGGGCATGTCCCAGTTGATATGATTCTACTAGTTTTTATCATCAGTTATATTTTGTGCTTAAAATTAGAAAATCCATGTAGTATTAGAGCTATCTTTAAAATATCATTTGATGTTTATTATGGTGGTTCTCCCTTGAGGAGTGGATACCAAAGATCAAGAAGTTCAGTATAAATATTGATGTTAACTTTAGTGGTCAAAGTTAATGTCGACAGCATGCACCAAGCTTTATAGGCAATAACATATATTAATGTTGTTCGCAATAACAAATGACAAAGTCAATGGACGTTGATGTAGCTAGACAATAATGGTTGGAGGATCTTAATAATAGCGGGCAATAATGATCTGAGGACTACATTTAGGGGTTTTAATGATATGAGAATTAGGCTATTTTGAGCTCGTTGGATTTGTCTCATTTAGATGCTTAGTTTGATTGTCAACATGCAAAAATTGGGGATGATTTGGCCATCCATATGATGTCTCAATGTTTATAATTATATTTCCAGTTCTTGATCATAACTCATTTGAACTCAAATCAAATCACTTTTTACATCGATAAATTCATTTTGTCGTGGCATTTAATTTGATCGTAAGTTTATTAAAATCTGATCGAGTTCATATGTCTTTAAATTTAATTTCAAAGTTTTCAATTTAAATATACTTCAAGATTTGTGTCCGATCAAATTAATTTTTGTTGACTTATCATATTCATTTGCTTTATATAGGATTTGAACAAGTGAATTCAAGTCATTTTATTAAGATTTAACACTAACTTGATAGAAGGTTGAACAGATGAATTTAATTTTTTAGACAAACCTAGTCGCCGCATAAGTCGCCATTAGCACCAAATCACACTGTCATGTGGCAATTTTTTTTTCTTGTTTTTTTTAAAACCCGTGCATCTCTAAATTTTTATGATTAAGTTTTGAATATTTTTTATATGTTTTTCTTATTAAATGTACCAATTTTAATGGTTAGTTTATAAATTAATCTATTATTAGTTTCCAATCTTACTATAATTACGAGCTTGAAAGCTAATGCCTCTCATTTAGGCTTCTTTTGGGACGGCTTTTATATTGCTTCTTAAAGCAGTTTTCTAGTCAAAAATTTGTATTTTGTACTAGAAAATTGCTTTAAGAAAGAGGAAGAAAGCCACCCCAAATGAAGCCTTACTAGCATCAAATTTAGTAGCGATTAAAATAATTGCAAAAGTGGTGTTGTTAAAGATTATCCAAATTCATGAAGAAATCTCTCTCTCTCTCTCTCTCTCTCTCTCTCTCTCTCTCTTTCTCTCTCTTTCTCTCTCTCTCACTATGTTTGCTAAAGGTAAACAATAATATTTTATCAGTGGTTAATTCTTATACATGCTCCTCTCAAGAACATCCACTTAAATGACTTACTTCATATGCATCTTTAAATTGATCCTACCTAAGAATGTTTTAATATTCAAAAGTGTATAAAAGAGGTTCTTACCACTTGATCTTGTCTGAAAATTGCATCCCATATGGAATTATTTAAATAAAATCATATTGTCTTACCTTCAAATTTATATATTAATTTTGAGCTATTAAATTAAATTTAATAAAAATTTTCACGTATAATATTTTCTAGATCACATTTTGTATAGATATCTGAATTCAAATAAAATGTATAATTGACTGTTGCTTGGACAAAATACATTAACAGATGAACTTATCAAATGAGTCAATTTTTTTATCTAGGTATCCTATCAACTACCTTCTTTTTTATCTGATGGGAGTTTTTGTTGTCCTTATTGAAAGCACACAAAATTACACCAAATGAGGTTACCGTTGATTTATGTCATGGAGGATTCATGTCATAATTTTGATTTTGGACTTCACATAGAGAGTACAAGCCACATTTTGAATCTTGTTGTTGTCAAATCAACAAGTTCCAAAATAGTTGAGAAAGAAAATATTATGACGTACAAATATATGATTTATGATGCAACTAGTCCATAATTTACAAAACATACGGAAGAGTCACCAAAGGGAAGCATAAGACTTTGATGAATTACTACGTGTAGTTTAACAACCAACTTGCTAGTCGTTGTTAGAATGTTCAATATTAAGACTTAATATAACATGAATATAACATTTGTTGAGAGTATTTTAATCAATTTGTTGGACTGCTTAAAAAGACTAACCATACAAATAATCTAATTCCAACAGATTTATATAAGACTAAGAAGCTAGTTTCGAGATTAGGTTATGATTGCTAAGAAAATATAATATTGTGTTAATGGCTATATATTGTACTACAATGATGATTTATCAGAACGGCTTGTCGCCATTGAATCACGCCATGATTTAAATAAGGAAAATAATTAAAATAGAAAGATGTTCTAATTAATTGATTATTTTACTTACCCATTATACCAAGACTGCACATAAGATATGAGACAATATATGGAGCAAGTATGATGCTTCATATCTAACTTGGAAGAAAATACCCCAAGATGTTTGGGACATGTGATTCTAGGAGTTCGAGGTGAGTAATCAGCTATATATAATTAAATTTCATTCAAAATTTTCTAATCCAAAATGTCATGTCTTATAATATCAAGTAGATAGATTTTTTTATTTTGTTACCCCAACACAATAATAAGATAAGAAACAATTTAGAGAAGCGTGGTTCGACTAGCCTACAAGACATGTTTATAGATATTAGGAAGTCAAGCAAGAGACTGATTTGGATTGGTGATGGTGTGTGGGATAAATTGTGTAGGACCTATACTAGCCTAGATTATACTAGGAGGGAACAAAAAAGGTAGAGCAGAGCTTTAAACATTAGGGGTATATATGGGCAGTGCTTTCCAAATATACTAGTGGCTTAGCTACACACACTGAGCATATACAATGTTTGGTATGAACATATATAATTTATATGATCTTAGAATTAAATAATTTTGATTGTTGTGCTAACTTATCATATTATATTACAAAAAGAAGTGATGGGTAGAGAACCCACTTTTGTGGAGTTACACATGTTCCCATAAGTGCTAGGAGGACCAACAATAGGTGGATCAATGATTAAGAAAGGCCTATGTGACTATTAAAACTTGCAATCATATTAGAAATATTTCAATGACATTGATAAAATTTTTATATATCTTATCAGGAGAACTATAAATGGCTTCAAGAGAGCCAAGCTGTATTTAGTGAGGGATCATCTATGGGATCGACATATTACTTGAACTATAGTACATAATCATAGGAATTGGGCAGAATGTAGTAGGGTAGAGTTTATGCCATAGGCTCTTAAGCTTATGTATTTGAGGACAAGTTGTCTAACACATCAAGCTTCTCAAGTAGTAGTAAAGAGGAGTTAGTCAGTCACAAGGTGGCTACCCTAATAGAAATGCTAGAGTAAGAGAAAAAATTGAAAACGGATATGCAAATACATCAAAGTCAGTTATAGAACTATACAAATTTTTAGAGCACTTTTGTGATCAATAGGCTTTAGAGGATGAGGGGGTGAGGGTACAAAAGAGGATTAGAGTTTGTTTTAGAGAGGCTTTAGTTGGATGCTTATATTTTATTATTGGTTTAATAATGTTTTAGAACTAATGTATGTTGATTCTCTTTTAATACATATATAATAATGTAATTTTGGGATTTATATTTTTTATTTTACCGATTTGTTTCATTTATATGATTGGTGAATTATTCATGGGTTATAATAGGTGAATTTATGTGGAGGATGCTTTTATTTTGCTGAGCTATAGGTTTCTAACAGATTTTCAGCAGATATATCATAAAAAATCATCGTAGGTCTTACCAGTGAAAATTTAGGTGGAATTCTCCACTGGTAATTCCAACCAAAATTTCCCCAATAATTCTAGCAAAATTTTTGCTTCTAATTTCATCAAAATTATTAACTGAAAATTTTGCCC